AATAATATAGAAGCCTAAGAGTTAATAACATTGAGGCCTAAGAATTAGCAAAAAATTAGGAACTCGAACCCGGTCACTGACCGGGTCTTATAAACTAGTCTACCCTCTACTATTTGGCAATTCCAGTCACTAATTAATTTTGCTGACGTTTTTATTAAAAGATACCTGCAAAGCAAGTATCTTTAATAAAAACGTCAGTAAATTAATTAGTAACCAAATAGTAAAGAGTAAAGAGAGGGAAATGGGAGAGAGACAGAGTGAAAGTAAGGAAGTGGGAATGGGGAAGTGGAAGTGGGAAAGTGGGTGTGAGGAAGTGAGTGTAGGGAAGTGGGTGTGGGGAAGTGAGTGTGGGGAAGTGGGTGTGGGGAAGTGGGTGTGGGTGTGAGGAGTGGGCCGAAGAAAAAAAAAAAAGAATAAAAGAGCAAAGAGCAAAGAGCAAAGAGAGAAACAAAAGAAGAGGCAAATTTAAAACTCAGATTGTGCAACGACGAAGTCACGTGACTTCGGATTTTGCATTCTTGCGAAATCAAAGGAGTTTCAAACTCTGCCAAAACGGAGTTTGAAACTCCGATCAAATGACGAAGTCACGTGACATACAGAAATTTGAATTCCTACAAAATTGACAAAATTCAAACTCCACCTAATTGGAGTTTGAAATTTTGAAAAAAAATAAAAAAATTAAAAAATTAAAAAATAAAAAAAATAATAAAAAATTAAAAAATAAAGATAATAAAAATAATAAAATTAAAAAATTAAAAAATTAATAAAATAAAAAATAAATAAAAAATAAAATAATAAAATAAAATAAAATAAAAATAAATAAATAAAATAAAATAAATAAAAGAAACTAAAAAATTAAAAATTAAAAATTTGAACTTAGTCAATGACTAGGTTCTAAGAGTTAATATAATTTAAAAGTCAATTTTATTAAGATCTAAAAGTTAGTAAAAAATTAAAAACATGAAATCAGATAATAACTAGGTCATAACTTTGAGATCTAAGAATTAGCAAAAAATTAGAAACTCAATGACCGGGTTCTAAGAGTAAATATAATTTAGATCTAAGAATTAGCAAAATATTAGAACCTCAAACCCGAGCAATGATTAGGTTTTAAGATCTAATAATATTAAAGTCTAAGAATTAATAACATTAAGGTCTAAGAATTAGCAAAAAATTAGAAACTCAAACACGGTCAAGAACTGGGTCTTATAAGCTAATAATATTAAGGCCAAAGTGTTAATAACATTGAGATCTAAGAATTAGCAAAAAATTAGAAACTCGAACCCAAGACAATGCTTGGGTATTAAGAGATAATATAATTTAGCTCTAAGAATTAGCAAAATATTAGAACCTCAAACCCAAGCAACAACTGGGTTCTAATAACGTTAAGACCTAGAAACTCGAGGACCGGGTCTTAAGAGCTAATAACATTGAGGCCTAAGAGTTAATAACATTAAGACCTAAGAATAAGCAAAAATTAAAAACTCGAACCCAGTTACCAACTAGGTCTTAAGAGCTAATAACATTGAGGCCTAAAAGTTAATAACATTTAGGCCTAAGAGTTAATAACGTTGAGGCCTAAGAATTAGCAAAAAATTAGAAACTCGAACCCGGTCACCGACCAGGTCTTATAAACTAATAATATTGTAGCCTAAGAGTTAATAACGTTGAGATCTAAGAATTAGCAAAAAATTAGAAACTCAAACCCAGTCACCGACCGGGTCTTATAAACTAATGATGTTGTGGCCTAAGAGTTAATAACATTGAGGCCTAAGAATTAGCAAAAAATTAGAAACTTGAACCCGGACACCGACCGGGTCTTAAGAGCTAGTCTACCCTCTACTATTTGGCAATTCTGTGTTACTAATTTTTTATAAGAGGAAAACTTTATATATTTTTTTGCTTGTAAAGCAGGCAAAATTGTATACCAGAGTGTACCCATGTGGATAAGGGTATTTCATGGGGCATGTAATTAGAAGTGCCCGACTAAGGTTGAATTTATAAGCAATTGACTTCGTTTAGCGGAGATTTTAAACTCCGACAAAGTGTATAGTCATGTGACTTTCATCATTTGTGTCCCCACGAAATTGTGCAAAATTCAAACTCTGTCGAATCGGAGTTTGAATTTTTAATTGACTTTTATTTACAAAAGTAATAATAATATATAATTTAAAGATAGATAAATAAATAAAAAAAACTATATTTAAAGAAAAGAAAAAAACGACAACAATATATTAAAGAAAAAACAATTATTTAAAAATAAAAAAAAACAATTAAAAAACCCGGTAATATAAAAAAAATAAAAAATAAGGGAAAATAATAATTTATAAAAAATAATTAGAGCGAAGTTTAATAAAATAAAACAATTAAAAAATGATGTAGTTAAA